CAAGCAGAGTTCTAACAAGCCCCCCAGGGGATTCTGATACTAGTGCAAATTTGTGAAGTGCTGAATGTGTTTTCAAGGTAATTTGCTTTAGAAGCAGCATGATGTAATGCAGCGATTCTTGACCTGCCTGAGCATTTAAACCACCCTTTTAACAAATGCTGATTCCTGGATCCCATCCTGAAAGATTGGGGATGAATCTAGAGTATGGCCCAGCATCCTGTACTTTTTTTAAAAACTGAGTCTAAAGTGCAGCCAGGGTTGGCAGCCAAGGCTATAGTCACAGGTCAGATGTGGCAACTACTCATTGCTGCAGCTGCAGAGTGAAAGCCGCCGTAGAGGACGTGTAACTGCACGGGCGAGGCTGTGTCCCAATGAAACCTGACAAACGGCGCGGGGCTGCGGTCAGCTTATGCTGCCCTTCAGCTCCCGCTGTAGCGGATGCCGCCCTCGGGGCGTGCCCACCGGTCTCCTCACTCACGGCTCAGCCACGGCCCCTCCTGGCTCGGGGCCTCAGTGAGCTCTCAAGTCCTTCCCTACTTTGAATCGCATCAATTCTGAAATCACAGAACTCATGGAGAATTAGAGCACTTAAGACAGGGCCACTAAGGGCTATTAGAAGATTCTTTCATTCAACAGAATAGGGTGTGCCAGTTCTAATGATTAGCTTCACCTCCTTCAGAATTTTGACTTGAATCAGCCCTTCTCACAAGTGACAGGTATGTAAAATATACTCCCTCTCTAAGAGTTCTGAAGTACATTTCATTTGAACTTTGAAACTGAACAGGCACTGCTGTAATTAATCACCTTTTAAAGTCAACTAGAAGGGCATGTCATACACTCCAGAGAGTAGCCTACCCTCTTAAAAATTATTTTTAAAAATATAGAAATAAAATATGTTGAAGAACATATTACTTGTGATTATAGTGGGAGCAGAAAAAGGGAGACACGTGGAACTTGCCAAATCCTTTTCCCGTGAGGATCATTCTTACTGTGCGATGCACATTCAAGAAAGTAGTTGTCCTGTCTTAATATGGGCGATTTATGGAAAGGAATTCAGGTCTCCCTTTGGATCTTTTTCAGCCACATTCGAAGAGAATTATAAAAGTGTGATTAAGTAGGAAGTATAGTAATTAACAAGCAAATATGTCATGGCTGAAAACCAATTACCAATTAAGGAGAGACACATAAAAAAGATTTAATGAACATTGGTTTTTTTGCATGGTCTATTCTCAAAGTTCAATTTTTTATTATATTCATTCAAAGCTGTTCAGTTTCAGCAAAGTATTTCAGATAAAGTTTATCTTACACCTTCCCTAATCTTATTCTCCCTTCAGCACCTGCCCTCTCTCACCTCCTCTTTTCTGTCAAGTTTCTCGAAGGGTTGTTCACATGTTCCGCTTCTATTTCCTCACCTCTCATTATACCTCCATACCTCCCCACACTCCATCAGGCATTCGGTGTTTTCACTCAAATAGTGCTCACGGATGTGAAAAATAGTGTCCACATCAGTACATATTCCCATTGGTGTTTGGCCTCATTTTGACATACAGCAGCTTTTGGGATGTTGACCACTTCTGTTCTTTCCTAATCTCTTCTTAGGCAATGACATCTATACCACCTCCTCCTTCACCATTTTGTGCAAATGCCCCCAAATTTAAATCTCTACATCTAATTTCTCTGCTGAGCTCAGCCTCATATACTGACCTCTTTAGGATGCCTAAAGCACACCTCAAATTTGACATGTCCAAAATGCACTAATGATCTCTCCCCAGAACCTTGCCCTATCCAACCAGTTTCATGAGTCAAAAAACAGAAGTTCATGTTTCATGTCTTCCTCACCTAACATGCACAATTGATCACCAAGTCTGTTGATTTTTTTATTATGTTTTCATTATTGATTTAGAGCGAGAAGAAGGGAGAAGGGGAGAGAGAGAAAAACATTGATGTGAAAGGGTCACATTGATTGGCTGCCCCTGCACACCCCCCGCGGGGGATCAAGCCCATAACGTTCAACTAACTGAGCCACGCCGGCCAGGGCAGTTCTGTTGATTTTCTCTCTTAACACATTGTATGCGGGAAACATATTTATACGTTTTACGTTGACTGGTAGTAGAGCGCGCGATGAAAACTACCCGCAAACAATGTGTTAAATATCTCTTTAACTGATTTACTCCTCTCCACATCTACACACAACCTCCAAGTCTACAGCTGACATAACCAGCTAACTGGAGTTGCACTTACATAATTGTCACTTGCTGGTTCACTTCATCCCACATCCTATATAATCCAGGTGCAAATAAAATGGGCTCTAGGACATCACTGTTAACTTTGGTCTTGGAGAAGTTCCCCTCTAACCTTGGTGTCCCACCTCCTTGATAGTTCCACCCAATTTTCCAGAAACCAGACTCCCTATTCTTCATGACAGTATCACAGAGTCCCAGCCTTTCTCATTTCTTCTCTGTAGCTGGGCTCTCTGTCCCTGAACTC